CTCTTAATTTTTATAAAGAATATCTCTTTGGATTTGAGACTTTAGTCTTTGCAACTTTACTGATCGTCTTTATGCACCAAGAGCTTGTAACACTACAAAGAGAAAGGAAAAATTTAAATCACATCATATGACCCCATAAAATATCTCCTTTTGAATTGGACTATGAGCTTTGTAACTTTGCAGATCTTTTTTATGCTCAAACAGCAACATTACAGACTAACTAAAGTTGAAAACATGAAAAAGCATAATAGGACCTCTTTAAGTTACAACTATGGGTCTTCTTAAAGGGATAGTTCATCCTAAAATGAAAATTCTGTCATTAAGTACTCACCCTCATGTCGTTCCAAACCGGTAAGACGCAACACAAATTAAGATATTTTTGATGAAATGTGAGAGCTCTCAGACCCTGCATAGACAGCAACGCAACTGTAATGTTCCCAGGTCCAGAAACAAAGTAAGGACATCGGTAAAACAGTCCATGTGATATCAGTTGCTCAACTTCAGTTTTGCGAAGCTACAAGAATACTTTTTGAGCACAAAGAAAATAAAAATAACAATTTATTCAACAATTCTTGTCCCCGAGTTATGTTTTTCGCCATTTTAGAGTATCACAACACATACGCACACTTTCCCATAAAATATCTCCTTTTGAATTGGACTATGAGCTTTGTAACTTTGCAGATCTTTTTTATGCTCAAACAGCAACATTACAGACTAACTAAAGTTGAAAACATGAAAAAGCATAATAGGACCTCTTTAAGTTACAACTATGGGTCTTCTTAAAGGGATAGTTCATCCTAAAATGAAAATTCTGTCATTAAGTACTCACCCTCATGTCGTTCCAAACCGGTAAGACGCAACACAAATTAAGATATTTTTGATGAAATGTGAGAGCTCTCAGACCCTGCATAGACAGCAACGCAACTGTAATGTTCCCAGGTCCAGAAACAAAGTAAGGACATCGGTAAAACAGTCCATGTGATATCCGTTGCTCAACTTCAGTTTTGCGAAGCTACAAGAATACTTTTTGAGCACAAAGAAAACAAAAATAACAATTTATTCAACAATTCTTGTCCCCGAGTTATGTTTTTCACCATTTTAGAGTATCAAAACACATACGCACACTTTCCCCTAAGCATAAACAACGCTGATTACGCCGATTACGTTCATGCGCGCGCTTTCTCCTCCAAACGTAAACAACGCTTTATCGATTACGCTCTTGGGTACTCTCCAAAATGGCGGAAGACATAACTCGGGGGAGAAGAATTCTTGAACCGAAGATCTTACAGGTTTGGAACAACATGAGGGTGAGTAATTAATGACAGAATTTTCATTTTGGTGTGGACTAACCCTTTAACTTTAAAGGGGTCATATGATGCTTTTTTAAAGATCATTATTTTGTGTATATGGTGTAACAGAATATGTTGACATGCTTTAATGTTCAAAAAACACATTATTTTTCAAATACTGTACATTATTGTAGGTCCTCTATGCCCCGCCTCTCTCAAATGCTTAGTTTTCTACAAAGTCCCTCCTTCCGACAAGCGCAGTCTGCTCTGATTGGCCAGCTGACCCAGTGCATTGTGATTGGCCGAACACCGCAAGCACTCATCGGAAATGTAACGCCCCTTACCATAATCGCGAGCTTCATCTTTCAAAATTAATGTAACGACAGAGCCTGAAAGGGGAACAGAGTCTCGTGACAGACACAGTGTATAGCACAGTGTGAATGTGTTTGCAGTACACAAGCCACGGTTAAGACAGCTGACTCCACTGTGATGTGTCTTGCTCTCTCTCTCGCTCGCTCACACCCACGATGCGCAAAACTCCGCATTTGAACAGTCAATAGCAAATACTTAAACTAATAACAAAACAGTAGCTGATTCAGAAGCGCCAGATTGTCATAGCAAAGTCAGAATTACCTCCTCTCCTAGGTTCACGAAACGGTCGTCCATAAAATGCATTGCTGTTCTGTTGTAAGTAATCTTAAAGATTCCTAAATGCATCTACTTTCGGAAGGCCAAATAAAGTGCTTTTGCTTTCGCCTAGAAACACACAGCGTCTCCCTGACATGGCTGCATCATCACTAACTGCGGTTACTGAAACCACACCTTTTTTCTTTGCGTGAACATTTGGGCGGCATTATGCAAATATTTCCACATAGTGAGGTAGATATGTGGGGGTGTGTTAGAATGAGCCATTTTAGGGGGGCGTGGCAGAGTCTTAACTTTGATAAAGAATATCTCTTTGGTTTTGAGACTTTAGTCTTTGCAACTTCAAGGATCTCATCTATGCACAATCAGCTTGTAACACTCCAAAGAGAAAGGAAAACTTGAAATCGCATTATATGACCCCTTTAATGGTTTCTTGCAACAAGGCACTGGTACCTTGTAAACCTGACTTTATTTCCAGATGGAATGATAAAAAAAAATAAAAAATGCGTGCCCTTATTCTTGAAAGTCGTCTAAAGCCAGCCAATCAGATCAGAGCTCGCCACAGCCAGAAAGTACTTTCCAATTTTTTGGGCAATATCAGACAGTAAGTGAAAGAACTTTGGGACGTCCGATGCTGATGATTGTGCTTCCTCTGATGCTGAAGGGGAAAGAAAAGTGTCTGGATTCCAGTTCAGCAGCTACAAAATGTATGACTTCATCACAGCCACTGTAAGAAAAAGACATCAATGCCACTAGTTGACTCTGTCTGTGTGTGTGTGTGTGTGTGTCTGTGTGTGTGTGTGTGTGTGTGTATGTGTGTGTGTGTGTGCGTGCGCGCAGTGAGTGGGTGGATAAAGACTATGCACCGTGGGCCAAGTCTTGTTCTCTGTAGAGTGCTGGTGCGAGCAGGTGTGAATGAGGAGTACAACAGCATTGAGAGTGATTACTGTTTGTTTTATAAACTCATTTGTCACCAAATTTCTGCTTGAGACGAGCTCTGAGGACTCAAACTAATTCCAGGCTCCTGTATTTATAAAGCAATCAGCCATGGAGTGTGATGTTTTTGCTAAAACCCTGTAGTGGTGAACCGCTGGACCTCGCTGGTCCTTAACAGTCTCTGCATATCCACGGCTTGCCTTGCTCAGTTCTTAAAAAAGCGTTGAGCTTTTCAGTGCCTTGAGGCTCAAAAACGATACTTATTTGACCTAAGGGAAATGGCCTCTTTTCATTCCAGAGTATTTTGAAGTTCGTAGGCTAAAGTATGCACAGAAACTTGTCTCAGAAACTGAATCTTCTCAGGCAGACTTACAAGCAGTGTCTTAAATTTTTTTCACAGACGACAATGAGACGATAACGAACTAAAACTCTTTTTGAATGAGAAAAACTATGATGTAAATCTATTGACATTTTCGTCAACGAATAAAAACGAGACAAAAATGTTAGGGAGGGACGATTTGGGAAGAGATTCATTCAGAACGAATCTGCTGCGTGGTTTGGAGGTTAGATGCGTACATATGAACCGGCGGGACATAAGCTAACATACACTTACTGCACGTGGCATAAAACGTTAAAAAATGTCAATATGTAGGAGTAAGAGAAGAGCAGACAAATGGATAAATCTGACGACGCAAGAGAGAACTCAATTCGGTCCGGTTTTCTGAGCACAGACACTGAAGCATACACACACAGAAAGCGCGTCTCACAGCGCGCGAGTACTATTTCGTGTCGCATGAACGGAGAATTACACACAAAATTATGTTGAATTGTCCGTTTTGACGAGTATTCACGTAAACACAATTGCTTACGTCTTAAGTGAACGTAAACAGTAGGGAGAACGTGTATCAGTACATTGCATCCATTGCAGCTGTGCATTCGGTTTTAAAGGGATAGCAGCCTAATTTAGTTGCTATTGTCCGAGTCATTGATGTTAATCAAGCAACAAAAGAAAGACAGAAAATCACGCACTGCTCTTGACTAAAAAACTTTAGTAGCTCTAAAGATGAATCTAAATTTATTTATAGAAATAAATATGTCTGCTTGAAAGAATGAAGAATATGGTAAACAAGTTGCTATATAAAGAATGCATAATTAGCCTATATAACCAGTGGTATTTCATTAAAAAGAAGACCATGTTCTTGTTCTTTATGAGAAGTGGTTTTATTTCATTTTAACATAAAGGCATGTTGTGTGTCACCGCATTTAAATCGGTATATATCATGATAAAACCTTAATATCAAACCTATATAATGAGTTTGGAAATTTCAGAGAAATGCTTAATAAATGTACTGTAACTAAACCCATTAGATTTTATCCGACTAAATTTACTGTAGATTTAGTCGACTAAAATCTTATGATATTTAGTCGACTAAAACTAAAAACAATTCAGATGACTAAAACTAAATGGCATTTTAGTCAAAAGACTATGACTAAAACTAAATCAGAATTTGCGGTCAAAATGAACACTGCTTACAAGCAGCATTTCAAAGTAAGAATGTGGTTTTTGAAGTTGTGTGTTTTCTAGACTTGTACGGATCCCACCTGCTTCTTTGCTGGCCTCATCTTCCTCAGTGGGCTGGGAGGGGTCATAGTATTCAGCGCTGTAACGGAAGGCCACTGCGTTATAGGTGCCTTCATCGGCCAAGGCTTCGCTCAGCCTTTTATACTCCTCCTCTGCAAACAGAAAGAAAGTTTCACAGGAAAAGTTCACATACAAAAAAAAGAAGTTCACTTCTGAATTAACTGCAGTGCTCATCGTCCTCAAACCTTCTCTTTCTATTCTTCTCCACAGCAGATTCACAAGTTTCAAACATTGTAAAGTTGGCTGTTGGATTAATGGATTTATGTTGGAAAATATAATGGTAGTTTTAAAACCGCTCCAACTAACAATAAAAGGGTTTAAAAAACTGATTAAATCATTACTGAAATAGCCTGATTCAGATAGAAATGCTAAACTTCAACAAATATTTTTATATCCTTAGGTGAGGTTTTTATTTTTGTTTTACATACACCGTTCAAAAGTTTGGTCCTTTTTTAAATGTTTTTGAAAGCCTCTTACATTCACCAAGGCTGAATTTATTTGATCAAAAACACATTCTGTGATGACAAACACTCCTGTGATGACAAAGCTGAATTTTCCGCAGCTATTACTCCAGTCTAAAGTGTCTAATATGTTCATTTGGTGGTCAAGTAACATTTTTCTCATAAAAAATGTTTTCAGGATTATTTGATGATCGCAGTGTTCAGAAAAACAGCATTTGTCTGAAATAGAAATCTTTTGTAACTATAATATTTGGATTTCTCTTTCTTACTTATAGATAATCTATAGCAAAAATGCAGCACAAAAACTGTATTAATTATACACTAAAACTGAAAAACTGGAACTGAAACCTTCATATATTCACACACCAATCCACACATCCAAACAGCCACAGTGAGTTCTCATCTTTAATGATCTCACTACAGAATCACAACTACTACATCTGCAATAGAGCACAAGGACAGTCCAATATTAAACAATCACAATGCTTTATTACAGTTTATAGGATGTTAATGTAGACAGATTGATAAAAGTTTAATGAGGTTAGGTCTCCCCCTGAAGGGCGAATCCACATGATGACTACACAGATAATGACTATGGCATACTGACACTATCACCAAAGGACATCATAATTCACTCCCACTTACTGCGCACCTCTGTTTAAAGATTGTTCAACTGCAAATTGCAAAATTCATTTTGGACTTTTTTAACCTGTTGATGCATATACAGAGTTATAAGAATGTGACATACTGATTTATCTCCATTGTATTCATCAGAATATTTCTAGGACTAAGAAGTAAAAACAAAAGTTAAAACCCAATAGTTCCGGCTCTAAAAAGTGAATTGGATGAGCCATGATTGATGCCCTTGTAAAATATTTCATACACACAAACAATATTTTTGAATGATATTTCAGTGCATCCAAAACAATACATCACTTATTGCTTTCTTAGAACACATATGTGACCCTGGACCACAAAACCAGTCTTAAGTCGCTGGGGTATATTTGTAGCAATAGCCAAAAATACATTGTATGGGTCAAAATTATAGATTTTTCTTTTATGCCAAAAATCATTAGGATATTAAGTAAAGATCATGTTCCATGAAGATATTTTGTAAATTTCCTACAGTAAATGTATCAAAACTTAATTTTTGATTAGTAATATGCATTGCTAAGAACTTCATTTGGACAACTTTAAAGGCGATTTTCTCAAGATTTTGATTTGTATGCACTCTCAGATTCCATATTTTCAAATAGTTGTATCTTGGCCAAATCTTGTCCTATCCTAACAAATCATACATCAATTGAAAGCTTATTTATTCAGCTTTCGGATTTTAAAAAATCGAAAAATTGACCCTTATGACTGGTTTTGTGGTCCTGGGTCACATTTTTGATAATATCTTGTGTTAATCAGGTCTGGCGTTACATAAATGTGCCTCAATGAATTAAACAGTTGCTGGGTGTAGTCAAGGGACAAACGTCATTCTGAACAACATTCTTAAACATTTCAGAACAAGTTTTAACCAACACATCTACATCAATAATAACATCTACCATGGTAGCCAGTCTGGTGACCTAGTATAAACCAACAGCAACAACACTTTCACATTCAATGGACTAAACTTATTTGTTTTATACCAAAACAAACTCAGCCATGTCCGTTTTACGCCCTTCACAGTATACAAAACAATTACAAGTACCTTTCACTATTCTGGAAATTTTATTAAATCACACATATATCAGAGGAAAGCACTCAAAGCCTGAGCGCACCAGTCTGAAGTCGATAACCATGAAAAACAGAGTTTACTGAAGAGCTCTGGTTGTCCACCTAAGCGAAACAAGCTAGATGAATTATTTCAGAGTGAAAAGGTCCGTTTTTCCCCCCACTGCCACTATGAAAGTGCCTCTTCATGCATTTCTACTTTTATAAATATATATGCCTCCCAATGAAATAATCTCACACAGGGATAAGAAAGACATGTCATGGTTTCAGAACATGTTTTCCATGATTAATAAAAGAAGTTTATAGTTTGAGTATATAGAAAATTAGTAAAATGGGTTCAGTGGGTTTCAAAAGTCTGAAATGGCTAGTGAAAATGCTTCTATTTTGCATTTTTCTAATTGAATAGGTCAGCAGACGTTAACAGAACATTAACTCTTTCCCGCAATTGACAAGATATCTCGTCAATTAAGAGACGACGCTTCGCCGCCAAAGATGAGTTTTTACGGCAATCCGTGTTATAGGTGTATTATGCTAAGAAAAGCCCTAGCACATGCCCAGAATGAGTTACGGGACTTCCGGGTCTGAAATACAAAGACATGAAGAGGTATACAGCATGAAATACATAAAAATGAAGAGGTATACAGCTGAACAGGCACTGGAGGTGTTGATGGACTCGGACTCCGATCACTCATGTTTTGACCATTTTGAATCTGATCGGGACGAAGTAGTGAGTGAGGGAGATGCCCATCTATATATGCATTTTTTTTGAGGCCGATCACAGAAAGCAGTATCTGCCGATCTTTTTAAAGCCTTCTTTTTTTATAATTTATAACTATTTATAGTGATACTCCAATCAGGATTTTTAGACATTTATTCAGGGCCTGAATTTCATTTTTGAAAATGGGGGGAATTCCCCTCTTAGGTGAGAGGAGAAGCAGCTTTCACACAGGAGTCCACTACTGATCCGTGGCTGTTTACCACAAACACAACATTTATCCATTATTTTGATTTCAAATCCAAACATTGTCACTAAAATTGCTTTTTCAGCATTGCAATTCTTTTTTTTACACAGTACAGTAATACAATCTTTCAAAGACATGCTTAAATAATAAACATAAGCAATTATTCAATGCTTTTTACTTTTGCATTTACTTTATATTTATATATTAAGTTGCTCAAGCAAGTGGCAAAACATTTAAACTACTTTTCTTACGTTATCTTTTGCATTTAAATCTTTATTAAATGCAATCCTGCAGTTCATAAAGAACTTTGTTTTCCTACCTGCCATCTATTATTGCCTTGTTTATCTAAAAGTGCTCTTTCCCTTTAAACCTGGCCAAAAAGCCATATGTGTTGACTGTGAAACACAGTAGACTTTAATAATATGCATTTATGGTGTAATTACTAAATTTTCGTGTCAATCCATGTTCATATTTACTGCAAAAATGCACTGTTACTTTAATTCAGCACTTGCAGTGCAGCAAAAATAGACTCGGTGCGGAAACGATCTCTGCACTGCTGCAGACGCACCGCTCGTGGAACGCACTGCCTGATAGCAACGGTGTGAAGTGTGCGTGCTTTATTCATCCGTTAACATGAGCGCGGGAAAAAATACACACCACATACGCACTGCAAACGGAGTAATGTGAACCTGGCATTATGTGTGTGCGCTGCGAGTGCGAGTGTGCGAGTGTCCCAACGTGATTATCGGCCAATAATGATCGGTAGCCGATCAATCCGAGCGCCCCTAATATATATATATATATATATATATATATATATATATATATAAAATATTATATAATTATATATACATACATACATACATACATACATATATATACATACACACAAAGTATATATTAGTGCTGTCAATCGATTAAAAAAATTTACTAATCAATCGCACATTTTTCTGAAATTAATCGCGATTAATCCCACTTAACATTAAAGTTTTTAAATATACTTTTATATTGCAATAATGTCACATTTAATCTTCAAATTAATGTACAAACAACATATATTTGTACATAAACATTTAACAGTATATCTTTAAATATTTAATTAAACATTTTTATGACTGAAGACCAATATCAATGATACCTATACTGATTTCTATATACAATTGCCCCCCCAATATTTAACCATTGACTATAGCCATTCAACATTACAGTATAACTGAGAGCGATCAATTTTAACATTTATTAGACTTTAAAAAATAACTTCTAATTTAAGTGAACTTAAAACAATCTTCACATAAACCCATTATAATAAGTCATATTTACCTGTGCCCTTCAGCAGAAATATACAGAAATTTAAAATGAAGTTATTAAACACAAAATTTTAAATTAAATATAGATGAATCCTTAAAGCTATAAAAGTTATTTTGTCCTCTTTTTTTCTTTGTCCTTTGATTAATAGACATCACAGCAGCTGGTTATTAGGTTATTTTGGCTGCTATTTCTTTAAGAGCTGCCACTGCTGAACGTGACGCGGATCTGACATGCATCATATTTTCTCTCAACTCTTTTTACCTTTTCTGACCCACTTCAGGTCTTAAAGTCTCTATTAATGAGCTGACGAGTTAAATCGGGTGTGTTAGATGAGTGAGACAGTGCTGGGCAGCTCCAGGACAGTTTTGAAAACCATTTCAGAGACATGTTCTTAAATGTGACTCATATAAAATATATTACATGCATGCATAGTTTTAAGGCAGCTTTAATCGCCTTTTTGGTAACTTCATGACTTAACATGACATGACGTTTATTTCGCTCTTTGATATGAAAGGATACAGGCTACAGCGTGCGCGGCGCCTTTGTGCGTGCAATTGAAGAGCATGCGTTGCGAGCACAGTACCGTTTCCGTGCTCATTACACTCACGCCTGGTGCTGAAGTGAAGTGGAGCGCGCGTCTGAAACGTCTCCCGTTTTCAGTCGTTCTGTGACTTAATAAATGCACTTCTTGTCAAGAGAAAAAGTGACAGAAGCAGCAGTTGTGAGTGGGGTGGCCAACCCTAGCCCTGCCCCTGCGTTAATTACGTTATTTTTAACGCGTTAAACTGAAAAAATTAATCGCCTGTGTTAACGAGCTAATTTTGACACCACTAATATACAGTGGGTACTGAAAGTATTCAGACCCCTTTAAATTTTTCACTCTTTGTTATATTGCAGCCATTTGCTAAAATCATTTAAGTTCATTTTTTTTCCTCATTAATGTACACACAGCACACCATATTGACAGAAAAACACACTTGGGAACCTTAAGTGCAGCAGAATTTTTTTTGTAACCTTGGCCAGATCTGTGCTTTGCCACAATTCTGTCTCTGAGCTCTTCAGGCAGTTCCTTTGACCTCATGATTCTCATTTGCTCTGACATGCACTGTGAGCTGTAATGTCTTATATAGACAGGTGTGTGGCTTTCCTAATCAAGTCCAATCAGTATAATCAAACACAGCTGGACTCAAATGAAGGTGTAGAACCATCTCAAGGATTATCAGAAGAAATGGACAGCCCCTGAGTTAAATATATGAGTGTCACAGCAAAGGGTCTGAATACTTAGGACCATGTGATATTTCAGTTTTTCTTTTTTAATAAATCTGCAAAAATGTCAACAATTCTGTGTTTTTCTGTCAATATGGGGTGCTGTGTGTACATTAATGAGGAAAAAAAATTAACTTAAATGATTTTAGCAAATGGCTGCAATATAACAAAGAGTGAAAAATTTAAGGGGGTCTGAATACTTTCCGTACCCACTGTATATATATGTGTGTGTGTGTGTGTGCATGTCTGTGTCTGTTTGTTCTGTTTACTGAATGCAATTTCAATTATTCATATAATTATTTACAGGTGAAAGAATATGACATCTGAATGCATTTTGCTTGAAAATGCACTACTTTGATAAAAATGCATTTTTTGTCCAAAATGTTGTTTTTCTGATGAAACCTATCTGCATTCAAGTGGTGATAAAACATGAACACATGAAGATAGAGTAAAAGTTTATTTTGTTTAAAAGCAGAGGCTCGGTTCTTTATTTTCATAGCAGAAAACATTCTGAGGGCCATCAAATTTAGGTGAAAATCATCAAAAATGCTGGCTGTGGCTGGCAACTTTTTTTTTTAAACGCTAACGGGGAAAGAGTTAACAGAAAAATGTTCATAGTTCATGAATTTATAGAAAAAGTAAAAAAACTAAAAAAAATGTAAACTTAAAATGGGTTAAGTCACTCCGATTTCTGAGGTCTAACTCCCTTGAAAAATTTTCCGTTTTGCAGCTCTTTACTATGGCACCTCTAGTTACTGAACCTGTATTTACTTGTTAGCATTATAATTTATGTCTAAGGTATTGTATACACGCGTAAATGGTTTAGGGTTTTTTTTTTTTTTTCTCCTTGTGGGTGTGTGTGCAGTCTGAGACAATGTTGTTTGTTCGTTCTGTGTTTTACTTTGAAAAATCCTTCAAATAAAATATTTATATATATTAAAAAAAGGGTTGAGTCCAAAAGTCTGTAACCACAAGTGAAAAAGCTTCTATTTTGCTTTTAGTTTCTTTCCATCATGTTATCAGTTTTTTAGGTTTTTTAGGTTTAATCATGAAGAAATTATATATACAGAAGATTTCGGAATCTCTTAGTAATAGGTAAAGTATTTGCCTAATGACAATGTGCACTTAAGATATTAAATGGCAAAAATTTTACTTTTTTTGTCAACAAAACAAAATGAAAAATGTGTGTCATGACGAAAAATAAGTGATTTATAAATTAAAATTTAAAAAAGCACTGTTGACAAAAAATATTTTTTATACACATATATATATATATATATATACATATGCATCTCAATAAATTAGAATGTCATGGTCAGAAAGCCGGTTCTGTAATCAGCAGTAAATCTCCATCACATGTGGGCTTTCACATTGAGCTGCGCAAAAAATTGGGCGAATATAAACGTGGTTTTGCGCAACTCGTCAGTGAACAACGGCTCTGTGTAGTTAATGCTGCTCAATGTGAAAGCCCGCATGTGATGGAGATTTACTGCTGATTACAGAACCGGCTTTCTGACAAGATGCGCATTAAATATCGTATGCGATTTATCGTGCAGCCCTAGTATACATATATATATATATATATAAACTATTTTTATGAAAAGAATTATGAAAATTATGAAAAATACAAAAAAGTGATTGTTTCAAATAAAGCATAGTAAATAAATAATGTTGCACCTAAATGTATCCTAAACCAGCAAAAACCACATGCTACTTGAGCCAAAATTAAAACTGACAAAGTCAAAAACTAGGACTAAAAGATGTGTAAAAATCAACGCTGCACTCAAGCTGACATGAACTTCACACATTTGAATAATGCATGAAGACTGACTGAGCTGATAGATCAATGTGCATTTACCTTGCCTGGCCTCCACCTCCAGTAGATCAGTGTGCATGGCCAGGTACCGCTCCTCATCACACAGAGCCTTTATCCTCGCCTCCTCCTCGGACAGCTGGTAATCGTGATTCCACGAGCCTGCGTCATATTCCGAAAGATCGTGTAAATGACCGCGGCCATCGTACCTGCAAAACGAATCACTTGGTTAAAGGCGAGAGGAAATTAACATTGGATCACATACAAGAAATACTCACCACACTGAAGAACCCTAAAAGTAAAGCCGTTTTTATGTTCACATATATGCTTTTCTTTCAAAATGCTGCTTTGCTTACAAGGTTTGCATGAGGAGGTGCGAAAAAAGCAGACGGCCTATGTGATGCACTCCAGATGGTATACGGGTCAAGAGATGAGTGCACTTGCATGATAAACTTACTAAATCCATTGAATTCTTCACTAAAACCATAAAAAGACGCAACAGGCCTGAGTAAAGAATGAATAAAAAAATTTAAATAGAAAAACGCAATTAACAACTCTCCTCTTACCTTACACGGTTCAACAAACCATTCCAAATTTTGAGACTTTTTGAGACAACTGCCATCATCATTCCTAAATATACTGTAAAAGAAGTACATCCACACAAGCCCGAGCACATAAATACCTATCCGTAAGAACCCATATGGAGGAAATTTTCCTGCGCTCGCTCCTGTATTCCACTTCTCAGTTCCAGTTTCTTCGGTAAAAGAGAGAAGTGGGCGATGAGGTGGCAATCAGGGCCTGGCGGGACCCCTTAGCCTTAATTGCTGAGGAAATAAGTTCTGCATTACGTGATAGAGAGACACACACATACACATTGGAAACAAGAAAACAGACCCATGCAGACTAAGGTGGCTCAATGCAACCCGCTGTGTTTCAACACACTCCAGGCTCGTTATCAATTTGAACATTTTTAACAGGACTGCAGCTGAACTGGAAGAAGTGTGGACTGGAGGAAGAGAGAAAACAGATATGGAAAACAATATTCAACTGACTATGTGTTAAAGTACTTCCTGCAAAAGAACAATGTTAGACCTGGGATCTATGCACAAAGACAGAATTCATATAATTGTATTTGAATCATACATTACTTCATATATAAGAACCACCTTAATGCATGGACTAATTTACAGTAGCAGGTTAATCTGACATGAATTTGCCATGGTTTGCATTTAATTAAATAAATGCAACACAAATGTGACCACAGCAAATTCCTGAAGTGCTAAGAAGCAGAGGCCTCACATGACCAGAACATTAGATTCATATTCACTTATTGTAACACAATAAATTAGTAATTCATATTTGTATATATTTATATACTAAATTATATAAGTAAGGGCCAAGTGAGCAAGGACTCTGCTTTGGATTTCAAACATCCCCTAACCCTGCAAAACAAAACAAAATCTTAAACCAGCCTAAGCTGGTTTGCTGGTCTCCTGGATGTTTTTAGAGGGGTCTGGGCACTTTTTACCCTGTCAGGCTTGCAGACTAGCTTAATTCAGCTAAGACCAGCAAACCGTCTTAGGCTGATCTTTCTGTTGAAACATTTGTCATCTTTGTCAGTGCATTGAGCTTACAAATAATCACAATCCAAGCAAGTTATCTTAGATCTGTCAATGTCAAGTTTTTTTTATTCACGTTTGGCCATGTAAACATCACACATTGCCATCAGCTCCTCCTTGTGCTGCAAAACAACAAATACATCCAAGGTCCCTTTGGAAGACATTAAGTTGGTTAAGTAATGATTCCCATTAGGTTTGTTTAACCGACCTATCGATCATGATGTTCTTTTCCCCCATCCATGGGATAAGGTGTTTGCCCTGGTCGTGGTAGATGGCCCTCTGATCGTCCCGGAACAGCTTACAGGCGTAGCCGAACACCAGAAGCTCCGCATACTTGCTGCTGTCGCTCTGCTCCTTAGTCGCCTTATTATGGTCCGTCTTTCTTCCCCCTCGCCGGTACATTCCTGATAATATCCGCAAGACACACCAAATAAGCGATAAACTGCTAGAAATGTATAACCATTTCTTTAAAGGTGGGGAAAGTGGAATAAAATATGTCGGCTAACATCTGACCACACATATCAACACACACTAAAACAAATATGCCGTGTTGAAGAATGTTGCGTTTCAGAGTCGCAGATTCGTTGCATTGTGTTTCGTGAAACGGAATGCGGTGCTGCTATTTTAGTTCGTAAAAAATCTATTTGAAAATAATATGTGAGCTTTTATAATATTTAAAGGGGTCATATGATGCTATTTTAAAGATCATTATTTGGTGTATTTGGTGTAACAGAATATGTTGACATGCTTTAAAGGGATAGTTCACCCAAAAATGAAAATTCTGTCATCATTTACTCACCCTCATGTCGTTCCAAACCTGTATGAGTTGCTTTCTTATGTTGAACATAAAAGAAGATATTTTGAAGATTGCTGGTAATCAAACGGTTGGTGGTTGCCATTGACTTCCATAGCAAAAAAAACTTCTTTATGACCAGCAGGATTGTAATAAGGATGTAATGTAAAAGAAAAGGCTTGAGACGGCTGTTTCTGGCAATGTAAGTTTTAATTAAAAATGTTTGTGATAGCCTACTAAATTACCTTTTAACGTAAGAAATGTAGACTGCAGGCTGTGTTTACATTTTGCCACTTGCTTGAGTAAAGGGGTCATATGATGTAATTTCAATTTTTCCTTTTTCTTTGAAGTGTTACTCTTGGTGCATAAAGAAGATCTGTAAAGTTGCAAAGACTAAAGTCTCAAATACAAAAAGATATTCTTTATAAAAGTTAAGAGTCAACCACACCTACCTAAAACGGCTCGTTCTAACACGCCCCCACATGTCTACGTCACGATGTGGGAAGATTTGCATAACGCCGCCAAAATGTTCACACAAAGAAAGAAGGCGTAACTTTTATTCTCGCTGTAGTATTGTTGTTGCTGCCGCCATGTCTTGAAGATGCTGTGTGTTTCGTTGTGAAAGCGAAGCTACTTTGTTTGGCCTTCCAAAAGAGGACACGACTACAAATCAGTGGTTAAGTTGTATTTACAACACTGTTCCAGAACAGTTCAACCCAAATATTCAGATGTGTGCAGCACATTTTATGGAGGACTGTTTCCTGATCCTGCACTCTAAAAAAATCCTGGGTTATTTTTTCAACCCAAATGCTGGGTTGAGCCTTCTGGGTCATTTGTTTGGGTTATTTTTTCAGTGTTTGGGTAGTTTTTGTGTTACGCAGCTCCTGGGTCAAATGTAACAACCCAGTGTGTGGGTTGTTTTGCAGCTCCTGGGTCAGACATTACAACCCAATGTTTGGGTAGTTTTAGTGTTACTCAGATCCAGGGTCAGATGTAACCCAGCGGTTAAATCCCAGGGATTTTGCGTCTTCACTTCACCAGAGAGCAGTTCTAAGCGCCATCGAATTGATGCATTCTTCGGTAAAATACAGGTTTGTGTACCTTTTATTTTATCTATAAAATCGTTACTGCGCTGACTATAGTTAAATTTTATGCAGAGCAACATACAGGCGCGCGGTGTGAATCACCTTTAACGAGTGTCGCGGTCTTTTCGCGTGATGGAAAAGCCTGATGCTTTGCATAAAATAAACGATTTTATTCATAAAGATACACAATATAATACTTTTTTGGACGATAAAACATGTCATCAGAGCTGTTTATTGTTTGTTTGTTTATTGGCATGTTATGGAGTCACAGCATGTTTCGGCTAGAGTGAAACGCTGGGCGGCGGTCCGTTAGCAGTTCCCCGCCGAACACGACTCCAGCTCGGGCACGAGAACCAGCGCCGTTACGATGGAAACAGAATTACAGAGACTGGTCGATTACACGTTAATTACTTCTGTTTAATGTTGAATTTTTGTTCTAATGTTTGTTAAACGAGTTTAAATACAGGCAATATGTATATCCTATTAAAAACTATATAAACAATTAATGCTGTAAATGATAAATAAAGGAAAATAAAGGAAGTTCATGCAAACCAGTGGTTGTGTGGAGTATTTTAGAAAAGTTGAGAGGATTTAAGTTAATCTGTAAACCTTACTTAATGTATGGAGTAAAAAATAAGCTAGTAATATAGTAAAAATGAATAAACCCATTAGCTGGGTAGCCTGGGTTAAATCAACCCATTATTCTGGGTTAAATAAACAACCCAATTTGCTGGGTAAATTTAACCCAGGATGGGTTCTGTCCTATATTTACCCAGCCCTTGGGTTTTTTTAGAGTGTGGTAGAGTAGACTACAATGCCGGCTGTTCTGACTCACAGACTGTAAGTACGTTTTCATATTTAAAGAATTTGCCACTGACGATTCAAACGCGAGTTTTGAGCAGTGTAGAGTAGAGCTTGTTGTTTGTCATTTCTCCGATCACAAATGCAGACATGGTTTTATGTTTACGCGGCGCGATGCAAAGCGTAAAAAGACAGTATATGTCATTATAATCCGTAATTATGTCCCCACTGGATGCAAAGAAAAGGCAAAAGGAACATCACACACAATGCTTTAAAAATCACTTCTTTGATCCAGAGACATTTGTTCATGCTTGAATTCAGTTAATCACTCAGGATAACATATAAAAAAGTCAGATGATTGAACAGTGCAGATGCAGATATTAACAAGAAGAAAAAAAACGGTACAACAATATTGGTTTCCCCTTTTCCTCATCCTTTATCTGCCCTTTCTTTGTGCTATCAGTCAACTTATTAAGTGTCAAATCAAATGCACTTTATCATGGCTGCATGCTTGGTTTCCAGGCGTCATCTTGAGCAATGGAGGCAAAATGCTGCCTGTAGTTTATTTCAGCTGATTAATTCGACCCGGGCCGCTTTTATTTGTCACGTACCTGTGACTGACTGACTTATTGTGGATGGGTGAGACTTTCAAAAAACTGTTTGTTTCAGGCTATGTTGACACGTATATGCATACTCTGATTTTGCAGATTAAAAACTGAGCTTCTTAGAAGGAAACCAAAACTGTTGCAAATACACTGTGACAGACAGACGTACAAATAGCCTAGATCAGGGATGGGCAACTTGCGGCCCGCGGGACGTATACCGTAATACTATCTCCAACCAGGAGCGGTCACTAGTTTCCAGCCACTCCCATATTAATTTCAGCGTAGTAGGACGTGCACTCTAATATAAACAATCATTAACATTAGCAAATAATAAATGAAACTGACCATGAAAACAGTATTTTCAAGTCAAGATGGTAAACAGATTATCTTTTTACCAAGTTCAAGGGGATACCCATATGCTTGGATTGTTTGGAAATCTGTATTTTATTTAAATCGCCATCACACCACTGCTCACAAACAACGGGGACGCCAGAGTTGCACTTTTCAAATTTCAAAGGTAAAATTCATAGTCAACAAAAGCTTTTTGCCAAATGCATGACAGAAATGTTTGCACTGGACTATGTTCTTATTAAGGTTTCCGCGGGTCCTTAAAATGTCTTCAGTTAAATTGTTTACATTTAAGGCCATGCAAACTCTTAAATGGTATAAAAAGTCTAAATTATAAGAGGTCTTTGGGGACGGAAAGACAAGAATTGCTATATGGATTAATATGACGATTAAACTTCAAAAGGCTACGATTTCACTGAATAAACTTGAGCGCTGCATGTTGTGTACTGCGGTTACCGGGGAAACCACTATATTTCTGCAGTTCCGAAAGTGACACCTGCTGGCAGAGAACGAATTTGCTTTTTCAATAAGCCCATCTGCTATTTTTGCTACATATTTTTAAATGTGAACCAGTGGATCGACAAAAAGCGAATGCTTAGTAATCTGGCCCCTTGGTAGAAAGGAGAAAAAATGCTGGCCCTCATCACTATCAAAGTTGCCCATCCCTGGCCTAGATAGATAGATTTGGTGATACACCCACACACTCTCACACAAATTATATCTCACATCTGTTGCCATCAGTAGGGTATAATAAAGTACATGATGAGATGAAATACAGAAGAGAAACGCATGACAAGCCAGTTGGTGACATTATTTAGACTGACAAAGAGTATTTGCACAACAGATTGGGTGACCCAAAGCAATGTCAAAACCTGACTGTGTCAGATGAGAAATTAAAAATGACAGACTCCAATAGGTTGCACAGAAGGATGGCAACAAATACAAGGCTTTGAGAGAACATGACAGAGGCTCTGTAAAGGAACCATGGTGCCTCTGTGACAGCGTCTTAAAACTCACTACCACCACACAAAGACCAGGAGACGTGTCACATTATTAAACCTCTAATCACATGTTAAAGGAGCCTTTTGTGCTGGTAAGACTCATAAAGAGCTGTCCGATTCAATTTTGGGGCAATATTTTTCTCAAATCTCAAAGGGCAAATCATATAATGATGTGCAAAAACAAGCTATTTATAGAAACTGAAATAATTTACACTTGTTTGAACCTCATATGCATGCAGTACACACAAAAACAAAAAGTCTGCCAGTATAGAAAGTTGGCAGTCTGAGAACTTTAATAACGTGCTGTATGTAATGTTAGCCAAATATAACAACACTGACAGTACTGACCTTTTCTCTGATATGCATGGTCACAGGGTTGCTTGTGTAAAAAGACACATTGGCTGAGCCTCAAATAAAGCTAAATTTGTTTTGCAATGCCCTTCTGAAACAAAAAAAAATGCATTGAATCAATTCAAAATGTTAGTTATGTACTGATAATACTATAAAATGTAAACAAAATGTACAAATATTAAATCAAATGAAGGATATCAAAATATTTTAGGGTGTTTTAGGGCAGAATTGTCAATTAAATCAAACTCTGATGTTATGTCTCTGTTAATGCGGTTTGTTTTAATAAACTGATATATAAAAGCACAACGAACCAAATGAACCAAAAACAGGACGTGATGTCACACTTTTAGAATGCTGCCCTGTTTTTAGCACATATTATGTGCTACACAATGTTGTCTATACCCAAACATTAAATATGTAGCCTACACTTTACATATGACTACACTAAAATTTGTACTATTTAAAGATACTCTTTGCTATTTCTTTGGAATCCCTGACTCATCTCAAATCAGAAGTCATATATGGAGGCCGCTGTCTGGCTGTATTACTTCTGCTGTGCGGTCTCTGAAGTC